TAGAGATTTTGATATCAAGTACAAGTCTACTTAGTAAAGTAAAAACGGTTTTATTTAAGAAAACGTTACTTTTTTTTTTTAGTAAGGACTCTTTTCATTTGACGTTACACGACTTGAGTGGTCGGATACTTATGGTAGGTGAGTGTCCATTCACCATATTATATTGTACTCGGATAATTAATTGAATATATATAACTATTAATAAAAACAAGTATTAATAGATAGATAGATAATGAATAAGAACGTTGCATCTACCTGCAGTCTTTCTTAAATAAACAAATAGCCTTTATTCTTAATAGAGTAAGAAATTACTTACCTGTAATTAAATTGTATATAAAGATAGTTTAATAGTTCCATAAAGAATATCTCTTTAAGTATTGACGTATTAGAGGTGCCACATGCTTTTTAAACAACAATCTATGCTTGATTTTACATCTGATGGGTAGAGTCTCATATGCGATTGTATTATTGTATTGGAAAAAAGTTTTTTTTTTAATAAAGCGAAGTTACTATTTAAACTCCTTTGCTTCTAATAGAAATTTGTGAAAATTATTTCATTAGAGATGCCACAAGTAGAAACTATATTTTTTTTTCACAATGTTTATTTGATGTAAAAATAATTTGTAAAAACTCATTTTTATTATACCGAAGTACTTTAAAAATTATATAGTCACACAACATAATTTCGAGATCGTCACGAAGTGATTATTATTGTGTATTAAAAAATTTAAATTTATAATAACAATTTGGAACAAATCAAAAAAAATTTATTTTGCAAATCTTTTCCAAAATTGACAATTAGAAGTTCAACGTTAATAATATTTTAAAGTTAAAATGAGAAAATCATCAAAAGATAAGCGAGATATCGTTTAGCAAAAGAATAAGGATGGAGAGCTAGAAGCGCTTTTAAGTTATTACAAATTGATGAAGAATTTAATATATTTGAGGGCACAAATTTGTGATATACTTTGTGTTTTAGTTGATGTTTTGTAAATTTTATTTTAGGTGTTCAACAAGCAGTTGATTTATGTGCTGCTCCTGGTAGCTGGTCGCAAGTTTTATCTAAAAAATTAAAGTAACTAGATAAATAAATAATATCTGGCTGATGAATATTAGGTATCCTTTAAAGATGCTCACTCAATTAATGTTGACATATATTTCAATAGTGAGAACCAGCCTGAAAATTTACAAGCGCCAAAAATAGTTGCAGTGGATTTGTAAGCAATAGTAAAAAATAATATTATTTCAAATTAATCATTAAAATTTGATATTTAAAACTAGGTACCACTTGAAGGTGTCATACAAATACAAGGGGATATTACAAAGCTTCAACAGCTGAGCAAATTATTTCATATTTTGAGGTGAATTAGCAGATCTTGTGGTCTGTGATGGTGCACCTGATGGTAATGATTATATCATTAATCATTAATCCTAGTCATTCAGTCAGTCATTTACTTTACCTTTTTGCATATTTGGGAAAAAGTGACAGGACTTCATGATATGGATGAATATATACAAGCACAATTATTATTGTCAGCATGGCAAAAATATTTCGTGGTAAAGGCATCACTTTGCTGCTATTTTCACAACTTAAAATATTTTTCCCAATTGTTATTTGTGGCAAGCCAAAAAGTTCAAGGAACTCAAGTATTGGTAATAACAATAAACAGTTACTAATATTCATTCATTATTTTAATAATATTTTAATAATCTATTATTATTATTAGAATCTTTCATTGTGTGTCAAAATTATACCCCACCAAAAAATTATAAGCCAACAATGTCAAACCCATTGCTTGATTTTTAACTTATGGTAAAATTTATGATATATAAAAGTCATGGTTTGTTTTGATATATATTAATCAATTTATTGGTTGAAATCAGGCAGTGAAAATGAGTTTTTAGGAATAAATCGTGTGATTGTTCCATTTGTTACATGCGGTGATCTAAGGTAACAACAGATCAATTAATAAATGATAAAATAAAAATAAAAATAATTTAATAATTATTCTGGTATGACATATTCGCTTGAGGTAAGGAAATTTTATTATTATTATTAAAATTTATTTCTATTATAAAATGGTTTTTTTTCTATTTGTTTTTAGAAAAAACGTTTGGATCCTTTACAACCTTCAATAAGCAAAAATTTTATAATAAAGTTCCATAATTTATCAAAAAGTTTTTAATTCATCTTATTCCTAAAATCAAAAACAAATTTCTTATTTTATGATTTCACGGAAATGAAAGATAAAGAATCAGAATTATATTAATATATAATTGGAAGTTAATGACTACTCTTTACAATGTTTCTCTATATATCAGCTTCTATAGGTGCTTGCTGTCTCTCTTTTGTCATCTTGATCTATAGTACTACTATATATAGTCACAAAAGATCTGAGATTACTCCCCTCAATACGTCAGCTAATATGTGGCATGCCCCAACCTTTTGGCTCAAAACTTTATATCAAAAAATTGAACCGTATATATAATTTTTATTTTAAAGTCGTATGATGATTATTGACTATTATAGGTCAGGCCTAGATCCATCGTTACTGTTCTAGACCGAAACATGGTTACAATGCAGAAGTTCCATAATAGGAATGAATGAAAAATTCAAGTTATTTAACTTTTTTAGTATAGTCTATTTGCGCTGAATGATTATTACTATATATTTATATATTTTAAGTTTCAAACAATTTAAGTTTCTGCGGGTTTCGGTTTTCGGGTTTCCCCTAAAGTTTAGGGTTTCAAGTTACGGCATTAGTCAGCAACACTAACACACTAACACTAATACGATAGGCAAACCTAACTTCTAAAAAACCAAAAGAAAAAAACAAGAATCCGAATATTCTAAATTAATGAAACAATAATGAATAATTTGGCCTTAATTCATTGGCAGTGAAAAATGGGAAAAAAAATCTATACAGGAGATTATTTCCGTAATTGTACTAGATGTTTCCCGCATTATCTATTGAGGTCACACACAATCGAATCTTTATCTTTTCATAATTATTATTTATATTTCTTATTACATACCTATTTATCATTTATATTCTTAATTTTATTGTAAATATTCAACCAAACCTGAAAAATGATAACTTTCTCGGTCTTCTTTTGGAAAAGAGGCAAACAAATACAAAATTAACATTCCACCTGAAATAAAATACATTTTATACATATTAAAAATAAAAATCAATTAAATCGTTAATTAATTTTTGTATTTGTTGGAAAATAAGTTATGTTCCTAATTTCTCGGTTATAAAGTACTTCACGAAGGAAGCAACGGTCAAAGTGCTTTTAGTATATAGCACTGATGAACCAATTGGGTATTGCGCAAGAATTGTATGCTATAACGTAATATAGCTGGTGTTATTGTGAAATCAAAACAACGCCAGGAATTTGTAATTAAACCAAAGAGGTTTATAATCGACAATAAGTTAAGTATAAAAGGCTGAAATAAACCGGTCATGGTTTAAATAACCAGGTACGAGAGAATATAGAACCAAACATAAAATATCTTCAAAGTCACGTGACTGTAGAATTGGGATTTCTCAAATTGGCGTTGTGGCGCAGAAAGTTCAGCAAAATTTTTAATATAGATAAAAATATTTTGAGTGACTTTATTCATATGGGAATTGGGACTAGGAAAATCGACCCTCAGACAAAAAATCTATTTTCAGTAACAATCCTTTTAAAATTGGTTACACATATGTTTTTAATATACAAAGAAAGTATTCCAAGCCCTATATCTCATTCCTCTACTAAGCAAACACAAGATCCAATTTTTTCTCCAATTGTAATCCTTGTATAATAGATTAATATCAAGTAAGGAAACTCAAAATAAAAAAATCAGCTGAGAGGTTGATTTTCCTAGTCCAAATCCCATATATGAAAAAGTCATGACTTGTTGTGGTACAAAAAGGATAACTTATAAGTCGATCGCTGGCCGCATTCACGGATCTCTAATTAATATTAATTATCCTCCTGCTTTTAATTTAATAAGTTAAAAATGGAAGGTAAAAAAAAATCCTTAAACGTTACTAATAATCATAGTAATAGACCATCAGCAGCAGAATTTAAATTATTAAAAGCAAAATTTTATGAATCAGAGATAGAAAGGGAGGGACTTGCAACTCAAATTGAAAACTTGAAAATGAAAATACAACAATTAAATGAAAAAAATTTCTTATCACAAGATTTAAAAGATTTAAAAAACAAAACAAATAAAGATGCACTATTAATCACACAATTGCAATCTGAATTGAACAAGTTTAAAGAATTTAAAGTTGATGTGGAAAGTAAAAAATTAATTCAACAGTCAGAAATTCAACGACTAACAATAAAATGTCAAGAGTATGAAGATGTGATTGAAGAAAATCAGTTGGAAATTGAAAAATTAAAAAAAGAAATTGAAATTATTTCTGATTTGGAGAAAGATCGTGATAATTATAAACAATTGTACGACGAGTTAGATGTTGAATTTAAAAGATTTCAATGTAAAGCTAATGAGAATGAATTGGAATTGGAAACATTACAATTAGAAGTGAAAAGATTAAAAGAAAAGTGCGTTGAATTTTACCAAAAGATCGATGAAGATTCTAAAACACATGAACTTTTAAAGAATGAATTAAAAGTATTCCAACATATTGTCGGTGAACAAGACAAAATTATTCGGGGAAAAAATCAGCAAGGTTAATATAAATATATTTTTGGTGAAATTTTTTAAAGAGAACAAAAAAACTAAAATATTTTACTATTTATTATTTTTAGAGAAAGGCGCGCATCCAGCATATTGTAACGCATGTAATAAATTCATAGTGGGTGTTCGATACAAGGTGTGTAGTGTAATATAATATATATATATATGGTTGGCAAAGATAAAAATTCTCATTTTCTATTTCTAAAAAAATAGTGTGGAAATTGTGATGATTATGATATTTGTTCGAACTGTGAGACATCGAATCATGATCGAACCCATGTGTTTATTAAAATTAAACAGCCGATAGAAAATGACAAATTCTTTAGAACTTTTTTACTCCCAAAAATCAAAATAATTGAAAAAGATGAAAATGGTAAGTTAACAGACTAATAATTAGTGATGTCTATGCATATTTATATTTATATTTATATTTATATTATCAGATATAGATCATAAAGTAATTTGTGATGTATGTCATAAAAGTATTAAAGGCGTTAGATACAAGGTAAGGACATAAAATTTTTTTCTTCATTCTCCAATTCACATTTGCATTTATTCACTATTTATCAATTTATCAATTAATATAGTGTGGGCACTGTATAAAATTTGAAATGTGTGTGAATTGTGAATCATATCCATTTAGTTTACACGATCAAAATCATATATTTATAAAAATCAAAAGACCATCACTAATAGAACTGAAAGAGCCTTTACTACCCTTAAACTTTCGACCAATTGAAAAAAATCATTAAGGAATTTTTTTATAATTTTTTATTTTTTATTTTTTTTTGAAAAAATTAAAAAAATTAATTATTAATTATCAAAACCTTCAACAGCTTTAGCAAAAGACCTTGCTTGTATTATTGATGCTTGTTTTTTCCAATTGCATATAAAATATTAGTCAAAGCAATAATAAATATTTTTCTAACCAAACAATAATATATTATTATTATAAACTGCCGGTGGATATTGGCTGGATGTTTATTTGATTTACCAATTTCAAAATCAATCGCAACATCTTCTTATAAAGCATACCAAATTGGTCACAAGCAGTAAATCGTCGACAGAATCATCATTGATATGCATCATATATTGTTCGACTACAATGAACGATATTATTATATAAAATTATGTATAGCATATGCCCAATAAATTTCTTGTGCCATTCATAGAAATATTAAAATTTTTAGTGTGTGGAATGAAGTCGAAATAAGATAAGAATGAGGATTTGACTAATTTTTTTACAAAAAACCATTGTATAACAAAACACAAACTAAAGATGTTACCAACAGAGAAGTTTATATAGATCCATACGAGGAGAAAGAATATATCTTAGAAACGCCATTTTCTATAAGATCATGACGAATTGGCTATAGGGACGAGCAATGAAAATCAAGTGGGCTAGTAACAGGACCAGTGAACTCTATTGTATTAATAGAGTATGCACATGATGGTAATGCTATTAATATAGTAATAGTATTGTTTTTATTATTATTTATTAAAAATCTTTTCTGTATATTTTCTTTCGTAAAATAATAAAAATCAAAATGTGTTCGAATTATGTTTAGTGCCCGAATTTGAAACACATAAAGGTATGTCAATATTGGTACGTAGTGCAACTTTACATATACACCAGTTGTGTTTTTTTGACTTTAAAGTTAATTGCGCGCAATAGTAAAATACACAATAATATTTAATAAGTAATAGACATTCTTTGTTTGTTAATCACGGAAACTTCTTATTTGTCATTATCATTATCACATGGATATTTAACATCTATTTTACGAAACTTGGAATTTGTGTATAGCCAGTTAGTTTCCTGATTTAAAGAATCGCAATAAATTTTATTTACAGTGCTCTAAAGAAAGTATCGGATTTATACAAAAGCACGTATTAATGTCCGATGGGAAAAATATATTGTTACAAAGGTCATAATTTAGTTGTTTGTTCCTATTATCTATCCGATAATTAAATATTTTCTAATCTTTTATACAAGTTATCTCTTCACAGATGCGCCGACTTTAGTTTTATCCGTTCTGTTGCTAATATAAACTATAAATAATAACAAAGTGTACCAGTAAACAAATTAATAAATATCAAATTCGAATCTCTGTTAGCCAGCGCTTCCAATTCCAAAGCACCCGCTCTACAAAATGCCCTAAAAAAAAATGATTATTTTGAATGTTGGGATCAAATTGACCAACATTATACGAATGTCGTCAATTTTGACCCCCGGCGTAAGCTTTAATTTCCTCAGGATGGATGGATCAACTTCTGGTGCGTCCAGACTAGACTTTCAACACATTCTCAATATCTCTCCTGGTTAGGGAGATTTAACAATAACTGGTCATTCATTATATGATATTCCGCTCGTTAACATAAAATTAATCATATATTTATTATTATTAATATATTTTTCTAGGAACCTTCAATATTAAAATAAATATTTTTAAAAAAAAAAAATACTGTATATTTATATTCGAATCATATTTATTTTACTATATATAAAAAAGGGGTTATATTTCAGCAACACCTTTTACAACACCTTTTTCGGTGCATCTTTTACAATACCAAGTACCAACTTCAACACTCGCAGGACCAAAACCAGTGCAAGTACCGTGAAACCATACTTGGCAATGATCACACGAAACCATGAATTGGCCATCGTCTAAAAAACAATTGGGTGGCTCACAAATACAATGAACAATTTCTTGATCATAATTTTCTTCATATGTGTTTTGTAACGGTTCTGTTGATGTTGGTACAACAGGCGTAAGTGTAGATGTCGGTGTTGGTGTTGAGATTTTTGTTGTTGTTGTTGGTACTATTGGTACTGCTGTCGATGATGACGACGATGATGAAACTGTTGTTATAATTGGTGGATTTGGTAATTTGAGTTTTATTTTTATTGGTGTGGCAACTGGAGGTTTCGCTAATGGCTGTAAAGTTTTATCTTCAGTCTTTTTTTCAACTGATTTGATTTTTACAACTGGTGCAGTTGATTGTGCAGCTACCGTATTGATTCCTGAAAGCGCTGTAATTGTTTTGGCTTTTTTTGTTGATTTGCCATCTTGTTTAAATAATTTAATACGTTTCGATGAATTTGTTGGAGTTAAATCATCATTTAATGAATGCTTGGAATTTTGGTTTGAATCAGAAGATGAATGTGAAAACTTATACTGATCTTGCAGTGAATAAAATGCTTGGATTACATAATCTGGATTCATTCCTCCCTTCAATTTAATTCTCTTTTTGGAAGGTTCATTATTGGATCCGTTATTGTTTGTGATTTCGGAAGTTGGATTTTCTGTTATTGTTAATCCATGTGAATTTTCTTGTAATGATGATGATGATGGTGGTGGTGATAGTGGTGGTAGTGGTGGTGGCGGTGGTGGTGACGGTGATGGTGGTGACGGTGTGGTAGCTTTGGGTTTGATCTCAATTTGTTTATTGGGATGTTCTTGGGCTTTAGTTTCATGAATTACTTTCTTGGATTTTGATTTTGATTTTGATGTCTTGCTTTTCAGTAAAGCTTTTTTAAGTAACCCTATATTTGGAAGTGGCGGTAACCACTCGGGTATATAGTTTGGTCTGGTGTGAAGATAATCAACATTGTTGTTTTTGCTATTATTGTCATTAATGTCTGTGTTTTCATAAGTTATATTATTTTCTTCGATTTCCATTGCATCGTCTTCTATAGTTTCCTCTTCACCGTTAATATCAATATCTTCATTACTCCTTTCTTTATTCATTGTAGCATTAACAGCTACTAACAAATTTTCATCCGATTCACACCGATCATCTTTGACTGTGTCTGATTTCAATAAATATATAAATGTATTATATAAATATTAAGCATATTAAAAACTATTCAATAACACCCTTTTAAGGAAAAAAGTAGTCATTAAAAAAACCTTTTAAAACATTAGGAATAACTCCAGAATAACCATTAAGAGCCCTCCCATCATTCTCTGTCCACTCTTTTAACTCATTCACATTTACTTTATATTCATTAAAAGCTTGTAAAATATCATTTGCATTTACTACACTTCTACCAACATTATTTGCATTTTCTTGTGCTGATCTGCCCAAAGCCATCAAGTATTCTTTATAAACATCTGTTAAAATGTCACAGCTAATCCTTGAACTTTTATCATAGCCTGCTGCTGCTACAACTTGGTGAACTCCTCGACGAACTATTTCGGAGCAAAATTTTTCCATTTCTTTGAAAAAATAAAGCGATAAATTAATTGTTATTGATGTTAATATCGTTTGAAGTAGAGGTTACACGGGTATAAATAGTCTTTTTTAATAATCATTTTTTTAAAAATAAAATATATATAATATGAACAAAAAGAGTCGTAGAAATGCTCGCGTGAAATATGAGGATGAAGATATAGAGATGCAAAACACAGAAGCTGGTAAATATTGAAAACAGATAATAATAATGTTCTTATTGATTCTTAAACTTTTTAAATGACTACATGATAAAATCGTTAGGTTTGCAGACTTCAACAAATAAAATACCCGGGAGCACCATTAAAACTAAAGAAAAAACCAAAGCCAAAGTTACTTTGAGTTTTGGTAACGATGAGGTGACTCTATTTCTATTTTATAGTGAGTTTTGATTGTGATTATCAAACTATCATTAAGTATAAAGACTGATCATGTAATAGGAAGTGGAAGGAGAATCATTTAAAATTACAAAAAGTACAGCTAGCCGCAATCTTACAAAAACCAAAATAAAAAAATTGGTTTTGGATCAGTTGAGTAAATTATAAAATTGTTGAATTGTCGCTTTTTTTAATATTATTATTGCAATCTAATAATTCCAATAATTCATCTTCAATAATCTTCAATCATCAGAGATTTGATTCCAAATAATAAGAACCAATCATCAACTTCCTCATCATCAACATCATCATCGACTTTTTCTTACACAGAAGAATATTTATCACAGTTGCGTGCAAATACACCTTCAACGCCTGCATCTTTCCAAAATCAAGATAATATTATTGCCGAGAAATTTCCATCTACAATTGGTCCAGGTATTTTATCTATGCATTATAAATTATCTTATTAATTATATTTTATATAATTAATAAAAACAATTTTTTTATATTATATTTGAAGGGCAAATTGCCGGAATACCTGATGCTGGAATTATTCATGCACTTAAAAAGAAAAGAGAGATGCTAAGACAAAAAATCACCACTAGTGCTCCAGAATATATCTCAATATCAGATGATGAGACTGATGTAAAAATTTCACAATTGTTTTGAAATTGGTTTTGATAATATACAACATACGTTTATTATTTGTTTATTTATTTATTCATAGGTTATTTCAACTTCTGGTAAACAGCAAATTGAATCAAGATTAGTGCGCGAAGAAGATGAAATAGGTGATGCAGAAGAAGGTATGAATATGTATAAATATATAATTTTGCAAATTTATTGTAATTATTTGATATCGATCTAATGACCTTTTTGCAAATTATTTATTTTAGAATTAGAACAATATGTTGATGAAAAATTAGTGTTTGGTAAAAAGGCGTTGAAGGAACATGAAAAAAAGAAAAAATCTGAACGGGAGGAAATGATTATGGACGTGTAAATATTTATTTATTCATCATCTTCATCATCTTGATTTTGTAATCCTCGTCATCATTTTGATTTTTGTTTGATTTTTAGTGATTATGAAGATGAAGACGAAGGGTTTTTACAATGGGAGCTAGAAGCAATTAAAAAAGGAACTCATGTACTTCAAAAACCCGTCGAGAAACCAGAAACCAAGGTTTACGCTCCAGCTCAAAGTAATTATTACTTTACGGATTTTTTTTAACAATTGATATAATTATTAATACAAAATCTAATCATAAATTTTGTGTATACAGTACCAGAATTTGTGCCTATTCCAGAATTTTCTCAAATTTATTCACGACTTGAACAGAAACTTTTGGATTTGGAATCATTTCAGAAAACTCGTCAATTGCAACTCCAACAACTTCAAAAGGATATTGAAAACCATCAAAAAGTAAAGAAAGAATCTAAATTAAAAAAAGAAACTGCCATAAAACGATATACATTTTTTCAAGAACTTAAAATATTTATCGAGAACTTGACTGATTTCCTTGATGAAAAGGTTGTTAAAGTTGAAATTTATAGGTCCATAATTTTAAATATTTCACTATATTCTGATATGGTTTTGAAAACAAGGTTGAAATGTTATTAGATGAGCTTTTCTTGTTTTTCCAATTTATCTTAAACATATATTAAAAAAATTTATAGTTTCCTGAACTTGAAAAACTCGAGAATGAGTTTCAAGCAGCATTAAATGAAAAATCAAATATAATCATGCAAAGGATCATTGACGACGACGACGACGATTTGATATTATTTACGACTATAAAAAATCAAGGCAAGTTAAATCCTACCATCCCCAAATCGATGAGAAATATTCACATTTAAAAAGAGGATATTAATTAAAGAACGTTTCATCATTCTACAAATATATCATCAATAGATGATGATGGTCTAAAAGGGACAGCTTGTGAAAGCCGAAGACAAAACCGCGAGTCAAGACGATTAAAGCGATTAAAAAATCGAATGGTTCTTAATTATGATGATGACGACGAGGGATTTTCTACAGATGATAAACTATCGGAAACAGACGAAGAAGAATATAATTCCAAAATTGGTATATTATTTATATTGATAATAGGATAAGAACATTTAAACGTCAGGATTTAGTTGTTTCTTACAAATCTTTGCTTTTCTGCAAATATTCTTGTTAAAGATCAAATATCTCATCTACATACAAAGTTATTAGAAGATGTGATTGACGATTATAAATCCATTTCTATTGTTAAATCAAAATTTGTCGAATGGAAGAATGAATTCGATGAGGATTATAGAAGAGCGTATGGTGGTTTAAGTTTGCCTGGGGTTTTTGAGTTTTATATAAGATATGAGATTTTATTTTCAGAAACTTTTCAGGTTTTATTATTTTTAAATTTTAGAAAATATGAAAAAAGAAAAATTTTCCAAAAATGAATATTTTAAATATAACTATTTTAATTGCTTAAAATCGATTTAGAAATATGCAGAATTTAATAAAATGGATTGGTATAATTTTATTTCAGAATATGGTGACACAATAGTTGATTCAAATTCGACCAATGAGGGTAGTGATGATGATGTTAAACTTTTGTGCAGAAGAATTCTCGAGAAAGCTATTCTTCCTAGGGCTACACAATTAATCAACTCATATAATCCATATTCAAGCAAACATACTAACTTTATTATCGAGTTTTGTAATAAAACCTTGGATTATGTTGATAGAAGCTCTCCAAAATTTGAGGTAATCTAGTACTGATGTTTTAGCTTGTTTCATATATTAAAAAATTTTTTTAATGTTAATCTTGAAATTTCTTCTATTAAATAGACTTTTTTAATGAGTATTTCTGATCGTTTGCAAAACACCATCAAATCTTTGAAGATCGTATCAGAAAGTGATTTCTTAATTCCTCAAATTGAGGGACCTATTATGAGAGCAAGAAATAGATATTTTTGCAGAAAATATAAAGTAAATACAAAAATGATTTGCGTTAAATGATTTACTGATAATGATTTCCTAAATGATTATTAATTTTATTTCATTTTTAGTTGATGCGAAATTTAATTCTATGGAAAAATATTATATCACCAGATATTCTTCGACCAATAATAATTGATCAATTGCTTGATAAAGTTATATTATGTCTTTTGATCTCATCTCAAGTGGATTCACAAAAATATCAAAAGGTAATTTCTATTTAAATGATTCCAAATTTGCCTTTTATCTTGAATAATAAAATAATTGTTATCATTATTACTTAGATACTTGAGATTGTACCAGAAGAATGGCTTTCACCGCCATTATTACAAAAGATTGCACTTGGGGCAGCAGGATTATAAAATAATTAGCCAACAGCCAATAATCAGCTATTATTCAATTATATTATAACAATAATAATTAATAAATTTTTTTTATTTATTTTAACATTTTTAGAGATGTTGTATATATATGTGAATTGAAATTGAAATTAGCCATTAGCCAATCAAATATGAGGGTGAAAAATTCCTAATTCAATTTTCAGATACAACAGGGACAAAAAGAATTCTTCATTTGAAACACTTTAGTTTTGTAACTTCAATAAAATGAATTCATTAATACACAATAAATAAATGAGTAAAATACAATTTCTAAAAATATCTTTTTCAATTCGTTTCACGCGACTATTTTATCTAAATCTCCATATCAACATAAAGAATATTAGTCATCATACCTCCCTTCTGATTGTATAATTTTCTTAATGTTCTTTTCAAATAAGTCATGTGATAGGGACGAGTAAAACATCTCTATAATGAATTTCACTTTTGTCCTTGATTCATCCATTTTTTTAATAATTGATTTCTCTTTCTATAACGAACAAAAGCAGAAAAGTTACATATAGAGACGGAAGGTTCGTTATAGAGAATGTGAACTTATGAACGACCAAATGGCTTATGACAAGTCATATAAGTCATATGCCAACACTATACAGAATAGTTTAAGTTTAGAGAGGGTGAACGTGAATAAGTTGGATTCGAAAAAACGACAATCGGTCATCATCTAAGCTAGGATCAACATGAATACGATGCCTTCACAAGTTGGTCAGTTATTAAATGAAGCTTTGGGGTGACTCCGAGGAATTGATGGAAAAATTAACCTTGAAGGTTGCTGAGAAGGAAGGACGGGCGGCGGCGTCCAGATTTTTGACAAGGATAATAAATAGGATGGACTTGAGAGGAAGAATTGGAAGAAACCAGGAAAGCAATTGTAATTGCTAACAGAACATCAACAGCTACAATGGGATCTAATATAGAAGCTCAAAACGGTACGAATCTGATCATTTCAAAAACAGATGGAGAGTAGTAATTCAATCAAGAAGAACATTTTGACCCGTTTTGGTAGAAGTGAACCTTTCCAAGCCGGCTTCTTATTTTTAGCATCAAGAATGGAACACAGTGTTATTATGATCAGGGAAACATCTGGAAAAGAATGAAGATGGATTAGGAGGGAGAGTGGAACATAAACGAATGCACGTTCATGTGTTCGAGTCGCAAAAAAATTTTTTTTGTTTATTTAATTTCATATATAATAATAAAAAAGATAAAATAAAATAAAACCTCGTGAAATAAAATTATTTTATTCTAATCTAATCTATTCATTCAGGTTGTAAAAGGCATATACTATTGAGTCGTTTTCTTAAATCAGCAACATAGGTTATAATATCACTACCATCATCAACAACAATATTAGGATCTAATTTAATTTTGGGAGAGCACACTGTAGGACTAATTTCACGTTCCAAATAAATCAATGCAAGTTTTAACGACTTGAGAATATTACGAAGCTTCTCATTTTCTTGCTCAAGTTTATTGCTTTCGATGTTAACATCTTCAATTTCTGATTTCAAAAATCGAATTCTAGAACGCATCGAATCAATTTCTTTGGCTGTTGCTTTGTTTTTATTAACAAGGTTTTGTTCGTATTCTCTTTTTTCTATGACATTATTATAAACATTATAAACGTGTGAACGAATTAACAAAAAATTTTAATGTATTATATTGTGTTGTGTTTAATATTTACCTCGATCGTATTCAATAAATTCCTTTGTAAATATTGGAAATCCTAAATCTAATTTATTTAAAATATAATAAGTTACATTCAAAAATAAAAATAAAAATATTCTAAAGAATTTACCAATAATATTTTGAAATTCTTTAATATTATCTTCAGTAGAAATGGAATCATCGTCACCATTATCATTATTGAAATAACTTTCATCTTCATAACAGATATCGTCATCTTCGAGAGAAGAAGAGTCAGTGGTCGTTGTTGGTTCATGATAATCTGCAATTTTTCTTCCGCTTCTTGTTCTTCGTTGTTTATTTTTTTGATTATCATCATCATTACTAATAATAGGATTATTATTATCACTAATTGGTAATGATGTTGTTTTCAACAAGGAAGATGATAATGAAGTGGAAGATGTAGATGCAGATGGCTGTGTTCTGGAATCATCGGTCAAGATTTTTTGTTGTCTGCTGAACCTTCTTTATATACATTGATATATTATTTACGATATTGTTCAAATATACAAGGACAAAGGACAAACAAATAATCAAGAATTAATCAACTAAACAAATACCTATTGTTCAAATTTTTAGCGCGTTGAGATCGTTTGGTTGTCATTTCTTTTTTTTTCTTGATTGTTTTTTTAATAAAAGAATTTATTTATTTAGAAAAAAAACCGAATTCGAATTTTAAAGGATAAATAAAGGGATATCTATTTTCTGAATAATTAAATTATTTTTGATCGTCTTTTTTCTTATTGTTTTCCATTATTAACAAAATCAATTACGGAATTAAATATGCATTTCTGCATGGCTTGATATTTCATGATTGACTGATTGATGCAAGCAGGTAGGAGAATCAGTTGATTTTGGTTTTTAAATGAAGTTAATGGCGAATGCGAAGAACAATGACTTGAGTATATGTAAAGTTACAATTTTCCAATAAAAAATATCTAAAGTATTTCCATTATCAAAATAAAATGGTATTTAAGTTCTTCAATAACGTTTGAATCATTCAAATGTGCGCCTTCATGGTTTGTTAATGTTCATTTCTGTAAATAAACTAGAATTAGTAGCTTTGATATGCTTTTATGAATGAATAATGTAACCAAAATAATTGATATCGGTCGAACGTCAAACGATTTGAAATATTTTTTTCCCTATCTTTTTTCTAAATTGCATGAAATTTACATACTGTGGTGACTTTAAAATATATCTAGTTACCCAGTTTTTGCGATAAAAAAAACTGTAATAACGGTAGATTGTGACTTCCTTTTCCAAACCTACAGTGTTTATTTGATTGCTTGGTTGTGGGAAAGTTATGATACATAATTTACTAGTACATAGTAATAGTAATAGTAGCATGATGGAAGTTCGATATAATAAAAATGAGATTTACAATTGCGCAAAAAATTATTTACATAATAATTTTTAAAATTATTAAAAAAAAAAAATAGTTTCTACTTGTGGTATGAACAAATTTCTACTATAGTTGGCTCAATCTAAAGACCTCCTAAATTTTGCATAAATTTTAAAAGTATATAGGTCGCTTTCTGTTCTAACTTTTTAAAAAATAGCGTTATTAGTTGATAGAGTAGGGATTTGATTTTAATGTAATAATGAGATTTTCTTATTTGTTGTAGAGTTCTATAGCATGGTGGACATTCGAATGTTGCACCAATTTTTTATGCCGTGTAACGTAATTTTTAAAGTAAAAAAACAGTGTGCTCAATTAAAATGGGTATACGTTGACGCGTGACACGACTGTAACTTTACAGAGATATTCTTTAACGTTTTTTAAACTTAATTCCAGCTGCATCCGT